ACTGACTGACTGACTGACTGACTGACTGACTGACTGACTGACTGACTGACTGACTGACTGACTGAGCGAACGATTGAATGAAACAGTGACTGACGACAAAGTGATATGGCGATGGAACAATCGACTTGCGGTATGCAAGACTTAATCTATAATTAACTGACGGCTATGAATGCCTGACATTGTGAATTAAAGACTTATACTGTGTTTGACCAACTAATGGAACACTTTTCGAAGGCTGGAAATGTCCTTATCCAGAAAACTGTTCTTGTGGAGAAAAAAATTTTTTTCCAGCGCTCCCAGTGTGCTCACCTATGGGTGCGAAGCGTGGAAAGTAAATCTGAACTATATTCATAAACTGCACATTATGCAACGCAGAATGGAAGATGTATGTTGGGAATAGTAAGAATAGATTGGAAAACGAATGAATGGACAAGAGCACAAAGAAGTGTCTGTCATGTCATTTTCCGAGTGAAGGAGTTAATGTGGCAATGACGAGATACTTTCGAGGGGAACCGGGCAAACCATCATACGACCACCTGGACTATCGAGACATTAGACTCCTTTCCAACCGGGAATAAACTGCCCATAGGAAGATATTCAAATCGGTAGTAGGATGAGCTGAAGAAGTTGCTGTATCAACATGGATAAAAATCGTAGAAAGCAAATTTATGACAAATTCTTGGGAGGGATTTCAACCAGATGTGACTAACAGTATGAGTGACTGATAATGTAACAGACACGTGATTGACTAACATATGTACACTGTCACTGAACGACTGTCCCTTTAGCTTAAGAACTGACGTTGTTGCTGAGTGATGGAATGATACCTTGACTGATTGAATCACAGAACTAGTTGACTGGTTAACTGCATGAGTGAGGCTGAGAATGATTGATGAATTAGTCGAATAGTCGACTGGGTGATTTATTTAACGCTTGGCAGATTGACACAGTTGTCGAATTACTAGCTGACTTTGCAGTTGTGAGACTTTTATTGTAATTGGCAAGGCGACTTAGTGATTAATAGTGCTACAGAGTGACTGACTGACACCGTTCCTGTCTGCTCAGTCGTTGCGATTCAATGCCTGATACTGTTACCAACTCACATACGCTTTTTTTGCCTGGCTATGTGACACTCTTACTAGTTGCTGTTTCTGACACTACTACTGACAGCGTAACGTGTGACATTTCATGTTGTCTTTTTAGATCTGAAGCTGCGTTCATTGTGTTTAGTAGTTTATTTCATTTCTTTGTTTATATCAGTTAGGATATTTCTGTTATGTGTTTGTTAATGATCTGCCAGCGAATTCTCGAATTTTCCTTTTGTAATGATTGTATGTTCACTGTTTATAAACAACCTAGTTTATTTTTAGCGAAATGTCTTGGTCAAGGAGTTAAGTTTTTAGGTTGACGTTTGCTTGCAAGCCTCAGCTTATGATTTAGTGAAGTTTAAATAAGTGCTTATACTGAAACGTTCTTCGTTGCGTCGTTTGTTGAAATCCTGTTTTTTTCAGAACATGGAAAGACTGTGGCACCGTTATCCGGTGCGTCGCAAGGTTGCTGTAAGAAATGCGGTTACGTCGGTCATTTGACCTTTCAGTGTCGAAACTTCATTAAGATCAAGCAGCAGCAAGACATTGTGCTGAACGTTTCTTCGACCAGTTCGGACATCAGCGACGAGGAAGCATCGGTTCACGTCGAAGGTAGATTTCAAAATCTGTTGTAATCTAGGACCATGAACTAGTCCTTCGTGTCGGTTATGTCGATTTTGCTCGGTGATAATGGTCACAATCGGCCGTCAACACGGTCAGCAGCATAATAATCGTTGACCCAAAAAATTGTAGCACTTTCGTGAGGGTGTCATTAAGCTGAACAAGTTCTCTGGTCTTTGATTTCGAATTCTGTTTCTTTGTCGCCTCCTCAAAGGACTGTAGGACTCCGTTCAGAAGGCACGGTTAAAATACCTGATTATAAATACGAGAAATTCGGGGCTTTCATTTGACCGAGACTTACGCGGTGAAATGAAACGTAAATAAGCATCAACATGCTTTTACTTTTGAGCATTGTCTCGGCGGCGGACGTTACTGAAGCTTTTGATGATTTGACTGAGAACAGATCTGCTTGTCTCTATCACCAGTTAGTGATTATTGGGTAGAACACTGCATTTGAAGAGTGCGAAGCTTAAGCAAATCTTAGATTCTATCTTAGCTTTGGAACATGCATAATCATGTGAACAGCAATTTACTATTTGCAGTGCTTCAGTTCACACATAACATCAGGCATATCGGCAGACGGGATTACCGTAATCATCACTCGATTTACAATCTACTTGATAACATTCAAGAAACAGCGAAATATGATCATACTGATATTTTGACCACGCTTTGATGGTGGTGGATTTATGTAGGTTGAGGCCTCATAATCAGCTCATGATTGATACAGTGGTCATACAGGCATTATGCCCAATGTTGATCTGCCATTAATGAAGTTTCCTCGGGAAATTGCACGTAACTGCAGATTTTGAACGTAATTGCATAATGCAAATTGGTTTTGCCGACGTCGAAATCTGAAGATGCCTGATTATTGGACTGATGTAAACTGAAAGAGGGAAACTTTAAAAACTAAAACAGTATCACTTATATTTGAATATATGTGGAAAAGTGCAGACACCCCTTACTGGATGCAGAATGACACCGCATAACATGTTCATTGTTTAAGGATCACAGACGCTTCGGTTCATATTCCATTCGTTTCCACAGAGTGCAAAACGAGTCTTCATTTCACTCGCAGAAGACGAATCAAGTATGATCCAAAGCAGGAGATTCTGTTATCCTAAACATGGTACATGGTGTCGTCTTGTAAAAGATTTCTGAAATTTTGAACTGAAATACTGCTATGTATTTATGAAATTCTTTGCCTCTTTTGCCTTACGCTCCTTCATCGGACACACATTGAGAATGTTTACAGCCGTATAGGTTTTCCTGTTGGCTTTACCACATATTCACTCAGAGTTTTTTGGCATCATGGTGAGTTCTCCGATGAGTTAAGCGACGCTTGCTTTCGGGATGAGGTTGTGTCATTCCGTGTTAAAGAGCTACATTTGATTCTTCATACAGAAGACCCTAATGTCAGTGACTTGATGTTCATTTCTGCCTATTTCCTGATGTCACCACTTTATCGTTCGCTGAAGAAGAAGGCTGGCAACCGCGCTCTCCACGGCGAACCTGTTGCTCGGTTTTGTCGTAAATCTATTCTAAGTACGGGGAAGCCCGTGAAACTGCTACGCATTTTCTGTTGCTCTCTGTCAGAAATATCGTACGGCTTATGATTCGCTTGAAAACTGCCGTGCCAATGGAGGCCGGAACTTCTCACCGATCAGTGTTCTGCACTTCTCTTTTCCCTTTTGCAGGTCTGAGTGCTCGACACCTTCAAAGCAATGTCATCGCTATTCAGAGATCAGAATTCGTTCCGAAGCAATCGAAAACTCGATCGATTCGGTCCAAATACAAGACCCGTGAATCATCTTCATCGGTACGCAAGTACCACTTTTAGGCATGTAGGTTTTGTCATACACTGCCTGAAACTGTCACAAGATGGTCCCTGTGTATGTACGCTCAGCAGAGATTCCATCGGATTGCCCTTACGTGACATTGTCAAATGTGAAGCGACAGTTTTGACAACGTACGTTTTAACAAATGTACTAGGCTGCCTGTCGATAGGTCTTTCAACCTGGAATTTGCGGCTTTAAATTGTGTTTAAGTGGCTGGTAGTATAACAGAAAGTTGTTTGCACATTTTTTCTAGTATGATGTCATCGTAAAAGACGCATTATCAGAAATAGACGTTTTGCTCTATTTGACCTTTATGGTCTTCAGGTTAACTGAAAACGACGCAGTGCCAGAAATTTGAAGCTTCAGTGCTGTAACTGCTGGCTTCAAGAGCGTATTCAATTCTTTGGCTGTCCGGCAGGTTTGCACGGGATTAATCACTCTTAATGGATTTCCTGGTTTATACAATTTTAAGAGATTATGTGGATGCGAGACTGATGGCGATTTTGGTCGTAAAAGTAAATTATAGCAGTATTGCCGATATATTTTACGGGCCTACTGATCAGTGACATTTTTTGATGAGATTTTTCTCATTTTTTGTTGCAAGTTGTATCTAAAATAAGCGTTATCTTTTAATAATTAGTCCTTTTCAGTACCGCAGTACTTACACAATTATCAACCGAGAGAACCACGAGGTTCTTTACCTTAACACCCTTTAATTTTTTAAACGTCTGCATATCCGCTTAGAAGGCTACCGCCGCTGCTAATTCTATCGGTTGTTGCGTGTACATACGGAGTTTGCAATTATTTTCTCTTCTTTGGCGCTAACACTGGAAATTTGGCGGAAAGTTTGTTCAGTATAACAAATTCGATATTTTGGGTCGTTTAGTTATAACTGACAAGGTGAACACCCAGAGCCAGAAAGGCCATTCTAATTCACGAAACTTGACGCAGGCGTGGGCCAACGAGAGAGTCGCGGAACCCGCTTATGATCCACAGTGCATTGCTACATTTTTCCTTATGTTATCTTGAGTAAAACTATTCCTTGCGTTTGAAAGTTCTTCGTTTTCAAAGGCATGTGAACCTATTCGGCAGCCGTATTAAAGAAAAATAAATCTTCATGCGACACGCTCGAAATGAGATGTCTCAGATGATCTGATTTCACATATGCAGTGCTAATGACATGTATCAGTGCATTACGATATTACATCATAATCAGGACAGAATATATTCATAATTCTCATATCCAGGAATAAATTGCTTTCTTCTGCATGTTCACAAGAATTCTGTCAGTGCTCCAGTATTCGAGTGCTTCATGGCGAATTTTTGGACTAAATTGAAATGCTGTCGCAATTTCTGGTCATTTTGCCAGTTAAGTTAATTTCGTAAGTTTTTCCTTCGTCTGTTTATTAAAGTAAAATCCACCACGGGTATCGACCACCTACAGTAACTACATATAGCTTGCTTGTCAGTATTACCCTTGTCAGTATTATTAGTTATGTTTTTGTGATGCCTGAACAAGACTACAGTT